TCTGAGCGCAGGCACGTCGCAGCCCCTCGGGGAGCCATCGATCGGAGCGAGCGCTGCGGCTCTGACAGTGCCGTTCCTGCTCTGACTTCATGTTTAAATCATCGCTCTGGCAGCTCCGAAACGCACAGCCTGGGATTCAAAATGCGCTCCGTGGCTCCTCCTGATCGCCCTGCCGGGGCGTGCTGCAGAAGGGGAGGCAAAAGGGGGTGGTGAGAGCAGGGCTCTGGGTGCTTGGTGTCCCCAGAAGTGGCTGCAGGGAGGTGGGGGACGCTTGGGTCGCTGGTGGCCTCTGTCCCTCCCCAGGGGACCTGTGAATTCCTGCAGGGGAGTCCAACTGTTAGGGTTAGAGTTAGGGTTAGGGTTTAGGGTTAGGGTTAGGGTCCTGCCATTAGGGTTAGGGTCTGAGTAGCCCCCACTCTCCACCAGCACCCCCTGCCTTGCTCTTCCCTTCTGACAAATGATAGCAATGGGGTGCAGGGACATCACAGGGCGAGTTGAGGCAGTGGGTGAGGAAGGTCCCTTGCAGCTTTACGCTGAATTTATGTGCCTGGTGCCTCCCATACAGCTTCACTTGTTCTTCCTGAAGAGACCAAAAGGGCTGTACAAGACATGAGATGCAACCACCACCCCTGCCACTAGAGCTGGGGCCCCTTTCCCTGCTCTGTCCCCATCGGTGCTGTCCCCTTAGCGCACACATCCCCAGGGAGCAGCCTGTGCACACCACCACACCGTCCCCAGCATCCCCGAGCACTGCTGAGACTGGGAGGGAGCAAACATCCTTCTGGCACACTTAGGACCAGGTGAAAGATGCTGGGCAATTGTGCAAGGCCAGGAAGCTCTCAGCCTGCAGAGCAGCAGCTGCGGGGTGAAACCCTCTGCCCTCGACTCCTCCTTTAGCCCCAACCCTTCCAGGGGCTAAATCCAGCAGAAATCCCCACCACACATTGCTGCAGGGGTGCCAGACGCCCCTCGACGCTGTCCCCCACCCCGGGAAGCAGGCAGGGCGATCAGCAGCCTGTTGTCGAGGCGGTCCCTGTAGCATTTTTATCAGCATTACCATCCAATATTCCCCGGCTGCTTTGTCTTTGCTTTACATTTATCAATATTACCGGCTGATCCCCCGGTCCCCCTCCGTGGGTTTATTAATATTGCCCTCTGATCTGCGGGTGGCAGCCGCGCTTTATATTCCAGCCCCATCCCTGGCTCCTCCAAGCCCCAACGCCATGTTTAATTAGATTTTCATCTCGGCTCAGGCAAACACAAATTGAGCTCCTGGTATCTCTCTCCCAGCGCAGAGCCGGTGCCTGGCCGAGGCAGACGCCGTCCTCCCGCGCATTAATATTCCAGCTTCATCCAGGGCTGGTGTGAATCTCAGGGCGACGCTGCCTCGGAGGCTCAGCAGCACGAAGGTGCTGGTTTTAATCCCCTCCCCACTTCGTGGCATTTATCCCGCCGGGGAAATGCACCCCCTGCTTTTGGGGGATGTCCCCTCCTCATCATAACCCTGGTGTGGGGCTGCGGCTTCCCTGCCCCAGAAAGCAGAAACCAAGCTCAGGGCAGGCACAGCTGGACCCTGTCCCATTGCACTGCCCCTTCCTAACGCTCCCTGCTCCTTAATATATATATCTGGGGTTGGGGTTTGGTCTTCTCCACAGCTTGGCAGCAGCTTTGCCCGATCAGAGGGAAGGGAAATGGTTTATGCAAAGTTTGTCACTTCCTGCAGGCACGGAGGGGAGGGCTGATTGTTCTCCAGCTATCTCAAATCTTTTGCCAATTTTGAAGATTAAAAATTTCCCCTGCGCCTCACAGATGTGTTTGGTGTTTGCGCTGCGATTTCCAGCCCCGCTGTCTAGCAGGCTCTTGATTATTTTGAGTTTTATTTTCCTCTGGTTTGCCTTTTGCCATGTGCCCATGCGCACCCTGGAGCTGCCCCATGGAGGACAGCAGATCACCCCTGGGTTGTTTTCCTGACTCTTTAACAATGCAAAGATGAGCAATTAAATATTTTCCAAGCAGGGAAGTCACTGCTGTTTAGAATAACGCCTGGTGTGATGGAGGATGGTGTTTGCTCGTGGGGGAGCAGAGCAGGTCTGTGGCGTGGTGCAGCTCCGCGCAGGGCACCCAAAAGCTCTGCTTTTTTTGCAGAGCTCGGCTCTTTAGCTAAGTAGGCTGCACCTGAACTTTAAATTGACTTTTCTTAGCTAAGCCCTGAGAGGCTCTTTGGAGTTGCACAGTCTATTCTTTGGGGCTTTTAGAAGCCTTTGGTGGCTTAAGATGAAACTAGGTTTCCCCTAATCTCCCATAAAAGCAGGTCGGTTTCTGCCCTTCTCTAGCATCAAGGTCTTAGCTCTGTGCTCTCCTTCCCGGTTGTGTTTGTTTCAAGGATTGGAAGGAAACGCCTCTGAAATCTTCCCCTTTAAAATCCCAGATCCTCAGATAAAACCCATTCGGTGGGGAGGAGCTGGGATCCCCACGAGGGGTGATGGCTAAAGGCAGGCACCCTCTTGTCCCTGCTGTGGCAGACCCAGTCCCCCGGTTTCACCAGACCTGGTCCCACAGGAAGGTGTTCTGCTGGGCCATCGGCTGTCCTGAGCTCACCCAGCTGCTGGGGAGAGCTGCCTGCTCTTGCACTTTGCAGGTGCTGAGATCAAAACTGCAGCAAACGAGCCCAAGGTCAGGCGGTGAATGGCATGGAGAGGCCAGGAGCCAGCAGGGCAGTGGGGGACACCCTGAATAATCCCTGTTCCACTGCAGGACTGGGATCTCCCTCCCTGCCTCCAGAAGCAGGAGCTGTGCCTGTGCCAGGAGCATGCAGCAGGAGCTTGGTGCCCACAGACCCCACTTTGCACCTTACCGGGGAGATCATGAATTATGCAGCCGCCACAGCACGGCAGGAGAAATCAGTTGCAACACGCAAGCACTAAGAAGCGTATTTATCTTCGCGTCCTATTGATTTATTTTCCTCCCCTCTTTTTCAAGCTCAGGAAGCTGCAGTGAGGATGGGAAAACAAGCCAGGCATTCGGGAGGCTCCTGGAGTCTAACGGGTTCCCCCTGCTAACCGAGAAGTCCAATGGGTTTCTCCACTTCCAGGCTGAAGCCCCAAAGCTCAGCGCTGCCTTGGAGAGAGAGAAGTCCTCTGAGCAGCCTGGTGCTTGTTTTGATGGAGCAGGGGTTTGGGAATATTGCAGGGAAGACCGGGGATGAGCAGGGTGGTGGCTGCAGAGGCTTGGGGTCTTTCCTAAGCTGGGATATTTAGGGATTGGAGCTTGCTTTGCATTCGTGTGCCTGAATCCAAGCACGCGCTGTGCTATCCAAGCAAGGTAAGTGCACGATGCTGCCCGTTGTGTGCTGCCCACTGCAACAAGTGCAGGCACGAGGAGATCTCCACCAAGGTGTGCACAGCCCAGGGGCTCCAAAGGCTCTGTGGTTGCTCCTGGCATCTGTCCCTCTGCCCCCATCCCTGCTTTTTGGGGTCCAGAGGCTCTGATCCTGAGCATCAGAGCCACAGGAATGATCTGCAGCTGGTTCTGGAACATCGGGGTGCTCCCTGCTTTGCCATCACTTGGCTTTTGGACCGATGGGAGAGGCAGGGCAGGGCTGTAATGCCACACACAGAGCAGACAGAGCCCTCTCCCCCCTGGTGGGGATGCCCTGCTCCTCGCCTGCCCTGCAGCTGCCTGGCAGCCCACCCTCCACAGGGAGCATCGCTGGCACATTTGTCCTCATCCCAACAGAAGTGCAACCATCCATTGCGACAAAAATGCCTTTTTGTCCATCCATCTATCCTTTCCGTTCATTAACTCCACCATCTGCTCCTTCCTTTATCTGCTCTCCCCACCAGGTACTTGCTCCCTGACTGCACCGTCCCCTTCCCTCTGCACATGTCCCCTGGGGAAGGACACCTGGGACCCCTCCTCAGCCCAGACCTATGGTCATGACCCTGTTTTAAAGCTGAAATTCAGGGCTCCATCCTGGAGGAAAGCTCACAAGCCTCGTGGGGCCCCTCTTGTGACAGCTCTGAAGCACTCAGGAACCCAAAAGGGAATGGTGCCGCTCCGTCCCCAGGCTGTGGATGCAAGCCCAAGGGGACCACATGGATCGGTGTTCCTCCTTCATCCCCCTCCATCCTCCCCTGCCCCAGCTCGAAGCTCTTCTCCCCCCCACAGCAAAGGTCAGCCGGGATCACACAGCCAGCCGGATGCCCAGATTCCTGCTCCCTGGGGCTAATTATGGAACAACGTCAGATAAAAGTCAACATATGTTGTAAAAGACACCATGTATCACTGCCTGACAGTTCCTAACAATGTGCTCATGTAACAGCTGTCAGGCTGCAATGCTCGAAAATGAGTAATATGTTGATTTATGTATATCAGATCTGCCCTTACGCTCACCAGCAGCAACACGCGAGGCCGGCGCGGTGCCAGCTGCGTGCCGGTGCGGGGACGGGTTGCAATATTGCACCTCAAACGCAACCCATACACGTGTGCAAGGCCCGTCGAGCTCTCCTTTTCTCTGTTCCAGAGCTCTTGCTGCTCAGACCTCTTTGTTTTGATCCAGCCAAGCACCGGGCTTCCTTGGGATGAGAGCAGATCATTAGGGACCAGCTCGCAGCCCCGCTAGCAGAAGCGTTTGGGTACTGGGATTGCTCGTGGTTAATGGCACTGACACGCATTCAGCTCCTGCAGAGATAATCAGCACTACCTGTCCCTTTAGGAAAACACGAAGCTGAGTGCTGGGAGACCAGTTTGCCTCGTTCTCTGTGGCCCCAAGGACTCCGCACCTAGTGGTGAAGCACGGAGGAATTGGGACTTGGGAGAGCCCGGCAGAGGGCAGCTCCTCCAGCTCTGCCCAGTAAGATCTGGGGAGGCCTCGATCAAAATCACTGCAGCAAAAGGCAGGGAAGGGCCAATCCAGCTGCTGGCAGAGGCTCGTTAGAGGTTCTCACTAATTAGCTTCAATGGGGGAAGGAGGTGGGAGCTTTGCCCTCGCCTTTATTAGGTCCCTTCAGGAGGATGCTCTAGGGGTGCAGGAGTGGCAAGGTGATGTGGGATGTGATGTGTGCTTTGAGCAGGCCTGGTTGCTTGCTGTTAGGATCCAAAACTGAGTCGAGGTGGTGATATATTTTCAGCTCTCCTTAATGTCAGGAGGCATCATTGCTCTTCAAAGTGGTAAGTTCTGACAGAATTTACATCACCCTCCCTCTCGCTAATTTGTTCCAGCTCACGTTTCTTGTATATGCACACTAGTTTTCCAGCCTTTTTGTGTAGCTGTTTTCTTTTTTTATATCTATAAAATTTATTTATTTTTTTAGGCAAATATGAACACAGATACGAGCTCTACTTGCTTAGACTCTCATTTTGGAGCCAGGGTCTCACAACCCGTCAGAAGACCGTGAAGTTTCCCATGCTACAGGGGAATGCGTAAATCTCGATTAAATTGTTCATTTCATTGAGACTTGAGAATACAACGAAACCAGTTGTGTTGTTCCACCAAAAGTAATAAAACAGGCTGATGTTGTTCCTCAACTACCAGCTTGTGCTTTTTTTTATTTATTTTTTCAGATTAAAAGGAAAATTCCATTTATGGAGCTGTTGAGTAGGTTGGCCTGAGCCTTCACAAAACCTCACATCAGACTACATAAACCAAGTCTGTACAGCAATTTTCTCTTTATAGACTGATATTTACCAGCCTAGCAACTACTCTACTTTCTAAGTGAATATATTTAATTTTTCAAATACATATTCATTATTTGCAAAGCTATTTCCACTCCCAGACTTTTGCTCCTTTGTCTGATTTCTCTTGGGGAATTTTTTAATAAGCAGATGTCATATAAAATATATTTTACGTACATCTATTTCGGCTGTTTAAATGTCTGGTCCTATTGTGTTTAATCCTAAATACCACTTTTAAATTAGTTAAATAAAAAGACTAATTGTGCCCTCCCTTTCTGAGGAAGTTGTTAACCAAAATGCTGGAAACCATCTGGAGGCTTGGTGGTGCTTGTGGACCCTGGGAAGCTGGAGGATGAACCCTAACCCTAACGATAATTATGACCCTAACCCAACACATACATAGCCAAATTTTCCCATCAGAAAATGATCAACACAAAAGCCTTTGGGTAGACCTGAACTCCCTTTGGGAGCCTTTACACAACCCCACACACAACAGGACTATGCTTTCTCTCTCTCCAAACCCTAACCCTAATTCTGGCCCTAACCCAACACGTGCATCGCCAACTTCTCCCATCAAAAAGTGCTCAAAACTCTTCCTCCACTTTTTCTTTTTCTTTTTCTTTTTTTTTTTTACCCCCAAATTCAGCACAAAGCAGAAGCCAGCAGCAGTGTGCCCTTCCCAGTGGCTCTGCCATCTCTGGACTTTGCAATGCCCTCTCCAAGTCCATGCACGGTGGCCACCTCCACCGCCACCAATTCGTGTAATACTTATCTGTATCGCATTTAAGGCTGTCCCTGTGGGGGGAAATAACAGCAGTGCTCTAATCTTTAATTAGGCAGCTAATTATCCTCAGTAGCTGTGTACTGCATTGTGAAGGGAGTTATTGGACACGGGATGAAGATGCTTTGTGAGTGTGATAGAAGGCAAAGACCTTTCTCTTCATTTCGGCTGATGTTTTTTGCTTTTTTTTTGCTCGCAGCCCAAATAATCGGGTTTAATCACCCTGTAGTGCTGCACTGGGATGGTTTGGGCAGGGATTTAGGCTCGGATCCCGGTCTCTGCTCCTGTGCCACCTCCGTGCTCTCTCGCAGGGACAGAATCTGGGGGGACACAGCGACGGGGGGGCTGCAGAGCCTCCCGGCACAGGTAGTGGGGCTGGGGTCACCCCAATTCGCGGCCCGACCCTATTCTCTCCTGGTCCCGGCTCTCCACCAGGTGCAAGGCTCCGCTTTGCCCAGATGAGGGTGCTCCAAGCCCACAATTGCCCCACTGAGCAGCACTTCTACTAATTCCACCCCCCCCAGACCCCATTCTGATCCAGGAAAGTGACCCCAAACCCATCCCATCCCAAATCCTCGTGTTCCCCCCACCCCCAGCCTCCCCTTTCCTCCCTGTGGGGTCACCCAGCTCCCCGAGCCCTTTGCTCACAGGCAGCATCTGCTGCAAAAATTGCACTGGGAGGAAAAAAAAAAATCCATTGGGGTGGTGTCCTGCTGCTGCTCCCCCCTCACCCTGGGGGTTTTGGGGATGGGGTGGAGGCGTTTTGCTCTTGTAGGGTGAGTCTGAGCACAGCAGGGGGATGCAGCACCCCCGGGGTGGCTCAGCTGCTGGAGGAGCGTGAGTGTGTTCGGCACTAAAAAGAGAGAAAGTAGAGAATCAGCACAACAAAGTTGACTAAACCAAATATTTCCATCCCTGTAGGAGGGAGCGGGGCTGACTGGAATGCTAAAATCACCTCTATTTGCATCTTTTTAAATAGGAGCCGATAAAAGCAAACACTCCACCACCAATAATTATAATATTTTAATTGTGTTTCTTCAGGGCTTTTGTTTTTGCAAGAGACAAAGGCAGCGTTGCAAACTGGAGAAAACACAATCCTTGCTGGTGCTGCTTCAGCTGGGCCCTTGAGCACGCTGGCAGGAGGCTGCAGGGCTCCTCTCAGCATCTTTGGGGTTGGGGCCAGCCCCAGAAGGATGCGTCCCCCCAGCCCCACCAGGACATCGTGGAGGGGGAGAGAGGGGTAAATCGTGCTCCTTTTCCTCACATTAGGGGTTTTGGCAGTACATCCCCTGTTTCCCCACATGCCCCTTGCTGAAGCTGTATGGCATTTTTATTATGGTGGTTTTGGGGTCTGTCCCCAGTGCCCCCAAACCCACAAAATCAGGGTTTGGGCAGGACGGTGCTGCAGCAGGGATGATGTGTGCCCTGTCCTTGACACTATCCCTCCTTCTGTGAGAAACTCACCGACAAATGGATGCTAAACCAAGTGATAAACTGCATTTTCAGTTCTGACAGGGCTTTGGGGGATTCTTTGGGGTGACATCCCCCTGCTTCTTTTCCTTAACTGCCATTTTATGAACCTGGCTTCAGCTTGCTTTTGGGCCTGCAGGGCTTCTGAACTGACCCCGTTTTAACAAGTTCAGGGCATCCCAAAAGCACATCCAGTGACCCCCAGTGAAAACCATCCCCAGTTCCCCGAGCCCTCCCCATGGTCTCCACTCTTACCTGCACCTGAGGCCTGAAAACCGTTCATCCAGGAGGCATAAATCTAGAGGAAAGCAGGGCTCATTAGCTCCAGTGCCCACGGAATGACTTGTTTTATTTAGGTTTTCATTTCAGGAAAGAAAATTAGACTTTTTTTTTTTTTTTTTTTTTTTTCTCCTTTACTTTACTGCTTCAGCTCGATATGAAGCAGCTCCTTTTCCCATTTTCTTCGTGTCCATCCGGTCATTGAGCTAGTGAAGGCTGCTGAGCTGGGATGGATCAGAGCAAGAAGGGATGGTTTGTTCTCTTTCCTGGGTGCCCGTGGGCTCCTCTCCTTGCCTGTCTCTTCCCTAAGCTCTTGGGACTTTGAACAGCTTCTGCTTCACCCCACGGTTCTCCAGGTGCTCCCATCCCTTCCCCACCCATTTCCCTGCTCTCCAGAAGCACTGGGTCCAAAACGGATGGACCCATTTCTTTTGCATTTCAGGTTAAAACACGCTGAGCAGTTCACACCAAAGCAGCCACGTTTCCTTCCTGCAAACAACCCCAAAGCCCCATCCTGCCACCAGCCCGGCACGTTTTGCTTGCATGCACTGCGCCACACGTACCGTAAGATATTTGCAGGGTCGGGGACTAATAATTTAAACTGCCGAGCAAAATAAATAAGTGTAAAGCAAAACCAAACCCAGAGCGCCACGAGAGCAGGCAATATTGTTTGCTTTTCAAATAGACACACAAAAAATACAAACAGTAGCGGGAGGATACAGAGATTAAAAATTTTATCAAAACAAAATACCAGCAATCCCACCAGGAAGTGGCGTTTCCATTTTGTGTGTGCATAAGATTAGCAACACTTTGCTGCCTGCTGTGAGTGGGCCTCTCCCCCTCCCGGTGGAAAACTTTGACAAAATTATCTTTTTTGGAAGAAAAAAAAAAAAAAAAAGATTGAAATTTCCTATGGAAAATATTGACTTTTTAAATTGGAAACTGCCCCAGCTTTGGTCTGGAAGGCAGCCAGGAAACAATCCGTTTTGTTGTTTTTTTTTTTTTTTTTTTCCTTTTCCGATACAAAAATTGAAAATTTGAAAGGAAATGAGACGGTTTCCCTGCAAATCTTTATGTTGTAATAAACCCAAAATCCATTTGGGGAAGGGACTGCAGGGAAGGGAGAAAAGAGCTTTCCTTTAGCACCAGGGAGGAGCTGGGAAGCGCATCTCACTACCCCTAAGGCAGCACCTGAACTTCCAAACCCTCCTTGCTTTTGTGTGTGCATCATCCAGCACCCAGCATCGTCCACAGGGGTGCTCGGTGTGCTACCAGCTGCTGCCTCGGTGCCAAAACCTCTCTGAGCCAGGCTGCAAACCTCACCGTGGGCAGCCTTGGGGCTTTTTGGTGCCACATCCCCAGTGCAGCTCATGTTGGTGCATCCCTGGCAGTCCCCGCAGGTGTTTGCCCTCAGTAGGGGAATGTTTTCAATCCTGGCCTGATTTTAGGATCCCCCAAACGTTTGACTTCAGCAGTTTGAAAAGCACTTTATTATAAGATAATACCCATTCTGAAAGCAGAAAGACATTGTAAAGGGAGCAAAACTGGATTTATTTTCATTGAAAACAATGCTGAAAGGGGTGGTTCAGCTGAGAAAAAGCTCAAATTGATTTGTTTTCCAAATAACCCTTTTGCCATTCAGCCTATCTCTACCACTACATTTTTATATTTGATCAAGTGGAAATTTGGGGGTAGGAGCAGAACCGAGGCCAAGCCCCTCCATACCACACTGCACAGGGCTCTGATCATTCCCCAGCCCCTGAGGCCCTGGTGGTGCTCCCAAATTGTGCTGTCGTGCATCTGACATGAGTTCAGGAGCTGGCAGGTAGGGCAGAGCTGGGGTTTGGGGCTTTCTGGACCCACTGTGGGGTGACCTTGGCTGCTGGAGACCCTGGTGGGTGCAAAACAAGCAAGCTCAGCACAAGGCGAGCCCACGGCCGTGCTGTTTTGGGTTGCTGACGCATCCTGATCTCAATCCCGCACCAGAACCCAGGAGCCGGTTCCCCACCACCCCCAGCCCTGTGGGATGAAGCTCCTCTAGGGCACGAATTCCCCCAGTCCCAGCCAAAGCCATGGGAGAGGCAGCGGGGCAGCTTTGACAAGCAGATCCCACCATCGTCCTCGCCTTCCCCCAACCATTTGTTGCTCGCTGTGGCTGCGGGGAGCCCGCGGCGCCCATGCCCAGCCCACCGCAGAAGGCTGGAGCAGGCATTTGAATAATGAATTCTGTTTAAGACTGAAAGCTCGGAGATCCATCTGTAACAAGACTCGAAATAATTACAGCTGATGATTGCCTGGTACCTCAGCCAGAAAAAACAGAACAGAT